TTGTTTGTTGATTTATCGGTTTTCACGTCGCTCAAGAACATATTTATGCAAAAATCGTTTGCCATTGAGTCATAAATATGAAAATCTATTTTTATTTTGCGACCGTTTACAATTTAAATTTATGGGTCAAGCAATTCCATTCCAGATAAAAGAATAAAATGATTGTTTTTAAAGCTATATTTTCTTGAAGACGTAATGGCTATTAATAAAATATGTGTTATTCATAATTCTGAGTAGTAATTCGGTTTGATGAAAATTTTGTTTTTCTTCTGATTCTCAATTTAATCCTATTTTTGGATATCTGGTTAATTCATGAATATAGCTGAAGAGTGGAGATCGAGAAAGAGCTAAGCTAAAAACATGAAAAATGTCGATAGGAAATGTTTCTTGAAAGTTGATGGTTTAATACCTAAATTCTAATAAAAGCTTCACACACACTCATTCTCATCAATTGAATCGGTAAGAATAATCTTGACCTGCCAAATTGAGTGAAAATAAATGTGAAACATACACACTCAATAGTATGGAGTTTACTTTTATACTAAAGTGTCATAACCAATACATTCAAATATAGTTGACATATACGAATGGGATAAAGTTCATCGCAAAAGCAGATGTCAGCACCAACAAATATACACAAATGAGATGAACTTTATCCCATTCGTATATGTCAACTATATATGAATGTATTGGTTATGACACTTTAGTATAAAAGTAAACTCCATACTATTGTGTGTGTAGAGTTTTTTTCTATATGGAGTTATTGTTGTAAAGTCGTATTGTTTTTGAAGGAGCGCTAGTGTTTCGTACACACGTTTCGTTTGCAGAAGAAAACTAACCAAATTCACGTTATCGGTGATATGAAAGGATTTAGTGTGAACATGTCATGAACAAACTAAAATAGCCAATTATCCGGAAGAATTGGATATTTTTGAACGAACCACATTTTATTTTAGTTGATTTACAGTCAATAATCGATTACGAAAGCCAATAAATAATAATATATTTGATCGACTTAACTTTAAATGTAATTTTGTCAAATGTTATTTTTGGTAATAATTTGTTGAATGGTTAACCCTTTCTTCGAATCATACCTTCAGTTGTAAATTTTTTTGCAAATGGAGTCATATATTGCAAAAACCCTTTTTTAAATCAATTTTCCTGGCTATATATATTGTAGCCCATCATAAGGAAAAAACCAGTCGATCTTTCGCTTTTTTCAAGTCGTGAAAGGAATTCTTCGGACTTTTATTTGTGAAAATAACGCAAATATTTTGAAATAAAGTAAAATTATAGGACATATCAATTTCAATTTGTTCATCGAATTGTGCCAAAAAAACAAGGATTTCAAAAAAAAAAAAAATCAATAAAATTCCAAAGCTAAATTTATTTTCGATAAAGTGCAGACATAGGAAAAACTGTGTGCAAATCTGTAAAAAAAATTATTTCGTTTGCCGTGCTATAACCAAATACAAGCTTTTTGTGAGTAGATTACACATTAAAACCCAAGATTTGTTTAAAAATCGGCAAATTTTCTGTTTTATTTGACGAAGCCATTAACTTGTCATTCGGATCGTTGTTAAAATACATATTCCAACAGAAAAACTCGAAATTTATTTTTATAACTCCTGATACATTCCAAATTCTTCAAACGTGGCCAATATTTATTGCGGATATAGTAATTTAATATTTTTTTATTCAGATTTCTCCAAATTATTATTTCTTTTTTAATTGTTTATAATGGTAAAATACAGGACAAATCCCAATAAAATATTATGTTTATATGATTCTCGTTAATGAATTTTAATCGCGAAACAGCGAAACCGTGTTTTCTGTAGGATTTCTGTACTCATATTCTTCTTTACTCAACCGGTCAACATGAATGCACACATCGAGTCAGCGACAAAGAAAGCGACTCAGATTTGATAGAACTTCATAAAATCATAATTTAATTCAAAATTATAATTTGAAGCTTTTTTAAAATACAGGGCGTCGTATAACTTCTTGTTATGATGAAATCCTCAAATAGAAATTTATGATAACATTGTGACTTTGCAGAACTTTTCGACTCTCAAAAAATTATTTTTGAGCTTCATATTTATAAATATCTAGATAATAAAAAATGCTATATTTGTTTTTGCAGTTGTGGTGATTTTGATTTACGGAATTTAAAGATAAAGCGAGCAAAGCTACTATCGCAATCATGCCTATTATTGTTGATAATGAAATCACTCGTCGTACTAAAACAACTCGTGCCCAACGTGAAATCTTTCGCACTGAACAAATGCGTCCAGAGGATGTATGTAGAGGCATTTGGTTTTATAAACTTATCTGTGGTGCGTTAGACCTGGATGTCCTATCGAATGTGATCAATCATCTTACTGCGATAGTTCCATTATTGCAGACACGGTTCGTCTATTCAGATGGTGAACTGTGCCAAATTTACGATAGAAGCATTATCCATAATCTAAAAACGGTTGACGTCACCATTCATTCCACTCCGCTTACAGAAGCAATGAGACGAATGAAAAAGGCTATGAATCAGTGTAGCCGCATGATGGACGATAAACTCTGTGAGTTTACGGTCTACATAATCGACGATAGCAATCATGTGCTTCATGCGAAATTTCACCGATCAATTATCGATATCCGATGTTGGGCCAATCTTGAATCTCTGCTGATTGCCGCCTATAATGATTTAAAGCAAGGCCATGAAACTGGAGTTGAACCTAAGTGGCATTTTGACGCGCACGCACGTGCCGACACCATGTACCAAGTTTCGGATGAGTACGAAGAAGACAAGAAATTCTGGCAGGCTTATGTTCAGCCATTGAAGCGCTTTGCTTACACACAACGAAGTAATATTTCTATTGGAAAGAAAACAACTAATCGCATCGCAATAACATTAAGCAGCAACGATCGACAAAAACTGCAACAGGCAGCAGCAGAAATGAATATTTCAGAATCCCATCTTTACATAGGCATTTCAGCACTTTTGCTTCGAAACCTTATCGACCGTGAATATCTTAGTCTCAGTCTGCCAGTGCATGGAACGTATTTGAATCATGAGCTTGGCATGACATCCAACGTCTTGCCATTGCTGTTGCATCTCCCTGAAGATGCTAAGATACACGAAGTCTTACTTCAAATCACCAAGGAAACTAAATCAATCCTCAAGCATCAACGCTACCGAATTGAAGACATCCTGCAGCTCGCTAACTATAGCGCAAATGACAGCTTCGGTCCTCACGTAAATATAATGCTCTACGATCATGGTGAGTCATTTGAAGGTTGTAGCAGTTCATCTCATTTCGGTGGAAACAATGATATCAATGACTTAAACATAACTTTCTGGGCGGATCGATCAAATGGTCGACTTGAAATTTTGCTTGAAGATTTTTATGAAGGACATTCAGAAGAACAGCTCGCAGCTTTGAGGGACCAGTTGAATTTTATTTTTGATCAGGTTGTATGCGCAGCCAATACAAACAGTACGATTGCCAATCTTGGTGAACGATGTCGCGCCATTACAACTGTCGAGCTATGTGAAAGTTTCTACGGCAATCGTTGCAGGCCAATTGCCGCCGGCTTTTTGCAGTGGAGTCGATGTTGTAATTTTCTGGTTCGTCTCGTATATTCCAATACGTGGATAGGAAATGGTCCCAATCCTTTTGCAACCACAAAAGTACTTCTTGCCGACAGGATTGTGAGCATCAACAAACTGGAATGCGTGAAAAATCCTTTGTGCACAATAGCACCAGGTACAGTGTTATCAATTGATGAAAATGCTTGGTGCGTAGCTGCAGCCGACGGAGTGGTTAAAGTAAGCCACTTTTTAAATGAATTTGGGCAGCCCGTCTCAGCTCAAACCCTCGCCAGTCAATGCCATATTATCGAAGGAGAACAGCTTCTTAAAATTACAACCGAACAGGCCGAATGGCTTGGTAGAGCACATGCACGGGCCATACTTGCCGAGCCCTACTGGTCTGAGCGTTTTGCTAATTTTGAACCGTTTCAACTATCTTTCATGCAAACCACTGTTACTCAATCACCGGCATGGGCCGCAACTACTTACCAAACTACAAAGGATGTAAGTGCAATTGAGGTACTCACTGCATGGCTCATTTACATTGCACGAGACACTCAAATGTCAAAAATACAGATTGGTTGGGACGCAACTGAAAGCTGGTATCGAGGGAACGAAGCACTAACGAAATGTACATTTGCCAAGACTGTTCCATTTGAAACATCCATTCACTTCAATGATACATTTTCAGACGTTGTGGCTAATGTGCAAAATGATTACAAGCAACTAGGCAGTCACTTACCATGTTTGTCAGGCACACTCATTAGTCACGCTAACAATTTTGCAAATAATTTATGTGGTAATAAACCCTGGGCTCTGGCCGTTTCCTTAATCGATACATCGAGTAAATATGAGTATGCTATGACTGACACCTGCAGACTTTCTTCTCACGCCCACGGTAGCTTAATGACTCTGCAAATTAACAAACTTAATGGCTCTTTCCGATGGATCTATGACTCCAAACTAATATCTGAAGAGGACGTCAAAAGTATTTCGTCACGTTTGCTAGTTTTACTTGGATCTGCTCACAACGCTGATCAAGCAAAAATGTCAGTGGCAAAAATGAATTTATTGCCAGAGGTTGAACGCAATCTACTACTCTATACATGGAATCAGACGACGGTTGCATATTCACCTACCTGCTGTCTTCACCAATTATTTGAGCAACAGGTGGAACGCGATAGTCAGGCAACTGCTTTGAAGTATAAGGGAGAGACTCTGAGCTATGCAGAACTGAACGCCCAAGCCAATAAGCTGGCACATTACTTGATTGCAAAAGGCATCAAACCTGATGATCGTGTCGCACTTTGCGTTGAGCGAAGCATAGCTATGCTCGTAGCAATGCTGGGTATTCTAAAGGCCGGCGGCGCCTATGTACCACTCGATCCGGTCTATTCGAGCCAAAGACTGACCAATATTCTGCAGGATGCCGATCCAATATTCCTATTGGCAGATACTACTGGCCATAGAGCACTAGGAGACTATCAAGTAACAGTGGTTGACTTAGACAAATCGTTGCCTGTTGATTTATCAATCAAAAATCCAGACGCAACCATCCTCGGAATTACTCCAACTCATCTGGCCTATGTAATTTACACTTCTGGTTCAACAGGAACACCCAAAGGTGTAATGGTTGAACATCAACAGGCAGCACTATTACTCCAGTCTGTATACGATAAATTTGATTTTAACAAGCAGGATAGATGGTGTTTATTCCATTCGTTTTCTTTCGACTTTTCCGTATGGGAGATATGGGGCGCATTATGCTATGGAAGTGAACTCTCAATAGCATCATACGATACCGCGCGTTCGACAGACAAATTTTATAATTGGATTTGTACCAATGGTATCAGTGTACTAAATCAAACTCCATCGGCATTTAGAATGTTTATGCGGGCAAAAAATATCAGTCCGCGATCCGATAAATTGCGATATATTCTCTTTGGTGGTGAAGCACTAGATCCAGTGATGATTAGGAAGTGGTACGATGAGTTTTCTGAAAGTCAAACAGTATTTGTCAATATGTATGGCCCTACCGAAACAGTTGTTTTCGCAACGAGTTGGATTTGTGAAAATACAATATCTGAAAACTCATTGGTGCCAATCGGTCGTCCACTGCCCAACAAGCGAATTTACCTCCTGGATACACATAGCGAGCCAGTTCCTCTAGGAGCCGAAGGAGAGTTATATATTGGTGGTGCTGGTATAGCACGTGGCTACCTAAACCGTCCTGCACTCAACGTGGAACGATTTCTACCCGATCCATTCAGCAACAATCCAGCAGCACGCATGTATCGTACTGGTGATCTAGCACGGTATTTGTCTGATGGTAATTTGGTATATCTGGGACGCAACGATCAACAAGTTAAAATACGTGGCTTTCGAATTGAGCTTGGTGAAATTGAAGCCCACCTAGTCGCACATCCTCAGGTGTGCGAGGCGATTGTACAGCCCCACGGCAATGGATCAGATGCTCGTCTGGTAGCTTATGTGGTAGCCGATGCGGATACATTAATAGCACAAGATTTG